TCAATTAGAACACTCATTAACATAATTACCCGTTGAAAAATCGACGGGTTCCTGCAGTGTCGATAGAGGGCCATGCAGAATAAACCAGTCGGGGGGATTTCGCTTTACACCTCCATTTCACGATTTTTTTAATTTTAATTAAACTACTTAAACAAGTTAATCGCCCCGACTGCGCCAGTCTACACGCCCGTGTGCGTTATGTCTCTTTCCTGGGTCCGATGGTGGGCCGCCCTCAGCGGCCAACCTGGTCCGCGTAAATCTGTAGAAAAATATTTCTTGAAAATTCGTTTTTATGTTTACACATGCGTACCCGACCCCGCAATCACGGCAAAGTGGATTGAAGAATTGAAATAGAATGACATCATTTATTTACACAATTGACAGGAGTCGACAGAAAAACTGTGCAAAATATTTTGTGCAATGTTTTTGTTTCCATGATGAATTTACCGTATCTTTCTACCTGTGTAAAATATATTTCCCTAAGACTTAGGTGTGCAGTTTTTTTTTCATTAATCCTTTCATGATTTCCTGTGCATTTTTTTTCTTATTCTGTCATCGCCCGCCCTCAAGTGTTCCTAATGGTCAACCCCTTATCTCTACGCCTTTCTTCACGTTCATTGGGATTATTACAGTATAACGGTATATAAATCTCGTACAGTCATAGCAGGATTGCCCGGTTCTTGTGACTTTTCAGGGACGAATTTAGGTCACTTAAGCGCGCTCGGGCCTCTGGGAAGAAGAGTGAAATTAGGTCAGAGAATAGCGCCACCTAGAGTCTAGGTCACCGCTGACGTTGCATTTAAGATGGCGGCCTGTGCACAGCTGTTGCGAGTGTAGGTTGATAGATACGAAATAATCCGGAACGCACAGATTTGCCACATGGAACGCGATTATATGGTTGACACGGAAACTGATCTATGAAATCATTCTAGCTACAAAAATAAGGTGAGTCCGATCATGATATATCAACGGGTATTCCCTTGGCCAACCCGGTATTTCGCCAGTTTCACTTTGACCCAGCTCCAAGGGATACCACGATTAAACTTCTTGAAATTGTGAATTTGTCTGGAGAGATCACTCGAAGCAGCCACGCATTGCGAACTGCGAACACGGACTCAACGAGTGATATTAACGTGGCTTGACCGTATTTCCCATCCAATTCAACGCAACGAATCAGTCGTGTTCGTCAGATTCGTGTTTTCATGACCGAATCAGTACGGCCACGAATCAACCGTGGGTGATCGGGAAGTATGTATCCCGAACGTGAGTTTCTCGCAATAACAATCATAGTAACAGTTGATCGGTCGGTAATCCGTACCAGCAGTGGGCATCAATCCGTGATGTTATTAGAGTGGTATATTACATGCAGGGCTGAAGGTCTCGTTATGTAATTATTAAAAGGCAGGAAATCATATAAATTATCATATGTGTCGATATTTAACTGAATCCGTAGTTGTAATTTTTTTTTAATTTATGTAGATCATAATCGCAGTCTTACTAGTAAAGACCTTTAGATGCTTGTTTTTAATTTTATATAATTCACAGTTCAGATGACTGGACTTCAGAAATTTTCTGGTATTTTTTTCAAAATGTCCTACATGTTATTTTGTTCAATCATTTCAGACAAAGGTCATGTATATAAGTGTTTTCTTTTACATTTATTGTTTCACGCCCAAAATATGGCAGATAATTAGAATTGTCCCATGATGCTAGTTTCCATTTTGTACAAAATATCCTAAGCTAATGTTGTGACGAATGCCTTTCGAAGCGGGAGAAGACTCAAGTAGAATAGCAGTTGTAGTGTTGCCACATCAAGGGGACTTGGATTGCCCCAAGGCTGACCAGTATTTATGAAATTTACAGCATTTTCCCAATTATAACCCTTCTGACATGGATAATAAAAATGAATGACAGCTCATGTTTTCATACTGATCATAACATTCTTCAGGGAGACTGGTGAATTGTAAACATGACATATCGTGTTTGTCGCATATTGTGAAACAAAAGTTCAAGTGCATATTGGGGTCAATGTCGTGACATGTACTCGTCACTGAGCTCAATACTTAATCAAATTCACATCACCAAATTTTGATAAAAATACTTTGTTAAAATAAAAGTTAAAATGAGCTTCGTACATGTATTTAATTTTTTATAAATGAACCTTTATTGCTTGTTATGCCATGATTTATACTATGTACAATCCACACCATCACTGGTAGCAAAAACAGTTTATGCTGATTCTATACACTAAAGCCCCACTGAAATTCTTTGTCAATAGGGATTTACATTTTTAATTTAGCTATTGGGAGTGATGAACATGCATTTTGTTTTTACTCGTTGCTATCATCTCTTCAACGCATTAAGTTTGTTTGAAGTTTTCCTGAAAATGTGTAAACACAGGTAGATGGTTCTTCATCTTTGATTGATACAGATTTCATGTTCTAGTAATCAGCAAGTGATTTAGTATTTGAAAAAAATCTGGTGAGCCTAAAGTCACATGTTGAAGTGTTGATAAATCAGGCAATTCAACCAGACCTGCAAAGGACTTTGCTATGACTTTATGTCCAAGTGGTACTGTTAAATATGACTATTTAGCTCGCAAGTTATTCTAGCTAATCCTTAATTTCACTAATTCAAGACATCACTTATTTAAAATAAAGTATATTATTATACATCTGTCACGGTAATGTCATAAGTTACAGTGTGCTGTAATTTTGCGGTATTTTACAAGGTATTTTCATCCTACCATATTAGGAAATGCGAATTCCAAATATGGAATGATTACGCACATAAGTGTCCTCTAATAATAAAAACAAACATGGCTGCCACCAGGGTTTGACCGGACTTCACACAAAGAAGTTTGTTGATTCTGTTCTAAGCTATTTGGATTTCGACATTCCCATGATGTATCCTTGGAAGAAAAAGATGTATAATATTATAAAAAGGTTATTACGAGGACACGTCAAAGTATGCACTCAGACAGTACGTCGTCGCATAGACCTCCGCTGCGCATACTTAAGGTATCCTCGTAATAACCTCATATTCTCACAATGAGATTGTTGACACTTTAGGTAAATGAAGATTCAGTTATTTCATGCATAGAGTCAAATTTGCTAAAATGGCATGTAGCTATTTCAATATGTTTACGGTACATTTGTTTATATTAAACAACATTCAGACAATGCACTTTTACTTTCTTATGCAAATTTCTACTTAGAAAAATGTTGCTGCAACAGAAAATTTATAGAAATTTTGGTTAAAAATGACCTCTAATTATGCCATATACTTGTACTTGTTCTGATTGTAAAAACATTATCTCACTAAGCTTTGTAAATAAAAATAGGATAAATTTGTTTTCAACCATTTGAGGCTGTATTGGGATCTTGATATACATTCTTAGTGACTGTTTTTGGTCCATGGTTAGTCTAGTACGAGTAAATTCTAGTGGTCTTAACAATTTTTTTTAATGAATAAATTTAAATTATCGTTTTGACTCATATCCGTTTATAAGCCTTCTTAATTATTTCATTAATTTGCCGTTTTCTCTGTGGGGGTTAACATTTGGACAACTATGGTAGTGTTTCCATCGTTATTTATGTCTAGAATATTTTAGTTTTAGTCGCTTTCCATCGGAAAAATACAAACAGGCAATACTTTTCATATTACTTACTGGCAGCGACGAGAATGGTCAGTGCGTGCATCAGTTCAAAAGCTGTTACTGACATATTTTTCTGGTTTCTTTTAAAATTTAAAAAAAATTCAAAAATGAAGGCTCACCAAACCATTTTTTTTAACATCAGCCTGAGACGAATATTATTTTTCTATGGCTGTCACTTTGCAGTCTAATAATGACATTGTTGACTCACTTACCAAAGTAATTGTTTTTCGATATATTTTTACACTCTAGAAGTACATAGGAATCTCTTAAAAATATTTAACATTTTCCCTATTAACAATCTTTCTTCCTATTGATTTTGGTATGTCTGTGGAGGCTTCCAGAAGACAATGTTAACACAACCAAAATTTTTGACTTCATGGAATTATTCATACACATGTCTGTGGAGGGGTTTTACTTGGAAACAAGATAATTACCTACTAGTTGAAAATTCAGAAATGGAATTTTAGATGGGCAGATTTAAGGAAAAATTTGTAAATCTTACAATTGACAGAAAAAAGAAGAAAAAGAAAATGTTTTCCATACTTACTAATGTGAATGTTACATGTATAACCATAAAATCTGTATCAGAAGCCGCATCCCCGATAGAAGCCGCATCCCCGATAGAAGCCGCATCCCCGATAGAAGCTGCATCCCCAATAGAAGCCGCATCCCTCTTAGAAGCCGCATCCCTAATACCCGGTAGAAGCTGCACCCATTTTTTTTTTAAATTTCATCATTTCTCATATGTGTTGATGCTCTGATAGAAGCTGCATCCCCCCTGTTGCATTGTACCATTTTAATGAAGATTTTACAGTAATTTATTAAATTAAAAAAAAATCTAAATCTACAGTACATTTTTACAGCATAGCGACGTTAATTTTTATTATGTATGTCAAATGTTGACTTAGCCACTCTGAGGATTACACTTGCATAAATAGATTAAATAATTAATAATGCTGAATAACTTTATTGCGTCACCATACATATGCTGTAATCATAGATGTTTATTACATAATTATGAGAAACTTATGGGGTACACTGTTTTGTTATTGATATCGGGGTATAGCTTTGACCTACAAATATATATGCAAGCTGAACTGAATGTCAAGGTTGCAAATATACCCTGACATTGAATTTCAAACATTTTTCTTTCATTGATATTTTAAGGATGTGTGCAGTATTAGGAAATAATTAATAATTTTATAATAATTTTTTTTATCAAAATATTTGTTTTCTCTGCAATGTTTTTTTTTATATTTATTTACATAGTAACAAGCTTCTGGTCTACACTTTAGTATCAATATTAATAAAAAAAAAAAGAACAGCTGTTGATCTACGAAAGTGTCTGCATGTTATCCCTTGACCTTTTATGTCAACACGACCCATAAATAAAAAAAAAAATGCAATTGTTTACAATTTATCTGGTTTCCCGTTCTCAAAAGACCTTAAAAACCTTCTGAACCTGTTATACATGTATGTACACGAACTGTATGTTTTCACTACATCAGTGAAATGGAACTACGCTGAACGTACGCCTACATCGATGATAGTCATTGCGCTTCTACAAATTACTGTGAAATATTCAAATTTCATGCATATTTTATTTCGCAATTTCGCATATTGCGTAATTTCATGAGCGTTGTATTTTATTATTTTATTTTATACTCAATTTCTGGCAGGGTACGTACCGCATCACAGAACCTTCATGTGGAATCTTTGTGTATTCAACCACCGTCCCTCAACGGGATGGTGATTCAACATAAGCTTAAAAAAATCCTTGCGTAAATAGACATAAAATAGAAATATTCCATCCGAAAAAAATATAACATTAAAACACATTTTAAATAGTGACAATAAAACTGTTGACATCCCAGTAGATTGCAACATCTGTTTGAGACACAATATGCACATGTACATACAAGGCATGTTTTGTTTGATCAATAGCTTAAACGTCCCAATCGCATCTTATTTGCATTTATAATGGGGAAAACTACAAATAGGATGACAATAGCAGTGTTATTGCCTATTGTATTGCGGTACGTACCCAATATGGTGAACCATTTGAAGTATCTGTGCACAATTATGATTATTCCTAATGTGAGATAGTATTAAAGTGAATTAATCTGGAATATTCAAAAGCATTTTTTCTTTAGTTTCAAATGTACTTATCCACTTCCCGGTGCTTTTATTTCCATCATCAGTGCGGCATCCCAGCTGATACGACATGCCAGTGATGTAATAAACTTGCAGTGACCCAACTAGTTGTGTTAATTTCACTGTCATTGATACAACAGAAAATTGTGTATTATAACCATTCATCTACTGATTTCTACATAATGGGAGTCCTAAGTAGGTCGGGCAAATCATGAGCTACTTAAAAGTTAGCAATGGGGGAAAAAGGATTTTAATATAGTGATCATGAAAAACATCTGTTGTAATTTGGTAAAATGAAATTCACATTTTATAAAACAAATTAGGTGTAAAAACAAAAGAAATCAAGAGCCATAACAAGGCACTTATATAGTCATATACAATTTTATTTTTTCTTGAAGACTGACTTCCCCAGCAGTCAACAAGCTGACTCAAGTTTTATTGGTTTCACTTTGACAAAAGCCGTAGAACCAATACTGTCCATCATATTTCTTGTTTTTATCATGACTTGCTGTGATAGTTAATATTGAAATCAGAAACAAATAATAAAAAAATAACATCAGTTTACTAATTTTAGAATTTTTAAAAGCGTTACAAATTCTTGTTAGTTTTCTGTGTGACATCAAAATGGCGGATGTGGATAAAAACAATGACATTCAAAGCAACAAATGTGTTATGTTGTGTGGCAGTATGTCATCTAGAATACAGTAAACTCTTGCAAAAACATGATCTTTATTGATGAATGTCTACTGATCGAAAAGATATTGATGGTTTGAATGATCTTTGTGTCAAGAAGCACGAGAGGATGTGATTTATGGGAAAAATGTATTGAGGGTTTATAATTTAGAAATTTGTTTGGTTATCCAAAGTTTTTTATTCAGACCACCACGCCATTTAGCTAAGTTTCAGGAAATTCCTGAAAGGGGTGAGGCACTAAGTCATTTGGACAACTTGATCGTGACGTGGATTTCTTAATCAGACTATAGTAAATATATAAGCAACATGTATTTCAGACTAGTGACTTTAAAAACTTAATATCAAGCTGACATCCATCTTTAAATCAGTCTTGTTCATGCATAATCTTGTATCTGTTTCAGCCGAAGGCATGTGGAACAGGCTGTCTAACTTGGCACAGACGGTTCAAGGTGCTGTTGTTGTGGATCAAGGCACCGATCAGATGGAACAAGGTTTACCTGAGACGGTGAGTATCACTTGCTCTGTCTCCCACCATTCATTTCTCCCACTAGCAACAAAAATTGGTTTTGCTTATCATCATTGTGCGCTTTAGTTTGAAACTTGCGTCTAACACATTATTCCAATTTTTCGCAGTTTATTTGTTGTAATCTCCTAGACTTGGACACTATGTAGGAGTTGGCTTTGTACACATGCTTCAATACCTATTTTAGTTTTATTGTAATAACTTTGGTTTATTTATAGACTGAGGAAGACATCACGATGGATGACGCTAGTTTTATATCGACATCTGAAACCAACGATGAGTTGCATCCACAAGAACAATTGCTGGCTCAACTCAAAGATATGATACGTGAAAAAGACAAAGAACTCAGTGAAAAAGAAAAACAAATACAGGTACTGTTGTTAATATGTACATGGAAGGTACTAACGGAAGGAGCCACGATGCCTCTTAAATTGGCCACTTAAGCCTCTTAAATTGGCTTATTTCCTTTTGTTTCAACCCAAGTTAATCCTGATAAGGACATTGTCTAGCTCATCTTTAATGTTGATGATAGTTTAGGTGTGAAAGGTCAAAATACGCATTTCACAACCGGAAATTCAACAGATCATTTGATTTCACAGATTTTCATTAATAGCAATTGTAACAAGAACAAGATAGTTCATTAGTTCTTCTTCAATCGATGTTGTATCTGCCAATTTTTCATTAAAAACAACATTCCAACTAGACATCATTTTCAATCTTGTGTATGCGCATTTCGTCTATTACTACCTAACATGCTCCGAATATTACCGAATGCTTGAGATTAGCGTAACCCATTGTAAGAAGGTGCCAAGAGCTAACAAGAACCAACAGACAAAATTTGAGTCAATTTTCGTTTTTTTGTCCCATTCTTCTGAAGGAAAGTGCAGATTATATACTATTTTGTGAATTTGTGATGAAAAGAGGGAACTGGTGGTGGAGAGGTTAAGGGCACACTGGAAAAATTTTAGGTTTTCCGAAAGTAAACAAGATTCCATTTCTATGTAGAGAACCTAAATAGATTGTTCACCGCTGCAGTTTTTGCAATTACACTCTAGTTGGAAATTCACGGAAGTGTGTTTGTGATGAGGAATTTGGATCCCAGTATTTGATTTACTTTTATTTTGTATTCTTCATTTTAGGAACACAATGGAAAATTGTCCAAGTTCAAGTTACAAGCGAAAGCCAAGATTTCGTCTCTGACCTCTCAGTTGGAAGAACTAAAGAAAGATAAACCTGACGGGGTCAGTAACTACTGCATCTTTGTCAATTTGGGTGGCGATTTACTGTAAAACGTTTTAGTTTTTTTTGCCTCTGTTAATTTCCATGATTTTACAATAAAAAAATTTCGAGGTCTACTTTAAAACTTGTGCATTCTGGTGTAACATTCCAATTTCGTCTTTGTAGGGAGGTGATTTTGTTGTATAAACAGGGAATCCAGCGAATAAATTGAGCAAGCTAGAAATCTGCCCTTCATTCTTGCATGGAAACCAATTGATGGCGCTATAACTTAAAACTTAACAGGCATTCATGAGAATGAAATGTTGTCACTTTGACTCCTTAGGATCCCAGTGAAAGTCAACATGACTCCCTAGGATGCCAGTGGAAGTTAATATGAATTTCTATGATTCCAGTAAAAGTCACTGATTTCCTAGGATCAGTTACTCCATTGGCCCAAAGTAAAAAGTCCATTCCCATAAAAATGTTGGGGCAACAAAATAGATGTATTTTTCATTGTGACATATTGTGATCAAAATATGCAGATGTATTTTGTGAAAATTGACAAATGTTGTCTTTGCTGCCTAAAGAAGTAACTTTTTGGACCAAATAGACATAAGTTTACTATTCCCACAGGTCAAAATTATTAAGAACAATTTAAAATAAATTATGTTAATGGTGACAAAAGTTGTATTTGCATTTAAAAAAGAAAATCAGTTCTTTCCTAAAATCACTGACTCGACAGTAAATTTGAAAGATCATCATCTTTCATTTCCAGGGCAACGGTGCTAGTGGGGCTGAAGGAGACACAAAAGAAGAATCGGCAAACAGAGGGAAACTACTTGTGATGAAGAAAAAACTAGATGACAAAGAGCAGATGTTGAAAAAAAAAGATCAGCACATAAAAAAAATTGAAAAAGAGTTGGGACGATTGAAAAGTAACAATGGTCATGCGGAGGAGATGGAGAAGAAGTTTGAAGAGCAGATGATGGTGATAAAAGAACTGGAGGAGAAAGAGCGGCTTCTGATTGGGGAACTTGGAGAGAAAGATAAAGTGATTGAAAAGCGAGAAGCTGTTATTGAAGCGATGCGGAGTGGCGGTCTTACAACGAGCGAGGTAAGGTCATCCATAATGTACCCACTTTTCAGATAAATATATGTTTATTTGTCTACAATTTTCTTGTTTACAGCGGCTAATTCATAAACTGACAATATAAATTTGATGCCTAAAATTAGAATACTATAAAAATGATGACATTACTTTCATTGAAAAACTCATTTTTTTCCTATTCCATATTTAAATTTGAGGTTATACCGCCCTCTATCACAATTACTGTGGAAAACGTTTGTTTTTTGTAACATTGGAACTTTTGCAGTTTACTGCATCCAAAATATAGACATTTATTATGAATTTGCTAAGAAGATAGAACAGATATTAATTTAAAAGAAGAATTTTTTTGTTAGCTGAAAATCATCTCCATCTGGTGATAGAATGCACTATTTAGATGCACCCATAATCTCAGTTGTGATGTAATGCTATTCAGTCATAATGCGCTAATGGAAAGTGATGATTGTTATTTTTCATTGTATGGATCATTTTTAAATAAACCATTCCAGCTAACAGTACTGACTATCAACCGATATTACCTAACTACCAGTACTAACTAATTTTGCGAGATTTTCATTGTAACTACAAACCATTGATCTGACGTGTTCATGCTTGATAGCTTGTAAATGATGTCACATCCTGTATATGGTGTATTATGGGTAAATGTAATGATATGATTAAATATAATTAGCAAAAGATGTGACATCACATACATCCACAATTCTTTGCAGTTGATGTCACATCCTGTTTTAAGGTGTATTGATATGATAATGATTGGTTGAGGTGTTGAACACAGGATGTGACATCATATACATCCACAATTCTTTGCAGTTGATGTCACATCCTGTTTTAAGGTGTATTGATAGGATAATGATTGGCTGAGGTGTTGAACACAGGATGTGACATCATGCATTCAATATACTGGCCAGTTTACAGTCACAATCCATGAGGTCAAATCAGTCACATGACAAAGTCAATTGAAGGAGTCCAAATTCAGCAATCTGCAATGAAGAACAGAATTGCATGACCGTTTCTTGTATATGCTGAACAGTTTACATGAATGCATGTTAAGGGTTGCTACGTGATCGTTTCTTTACGTGCTGACTATTTGAACGTTTAACGTATATAATATATTCGTACATGCACCATGGCTGTGGTTGACATCGTACATAGTAATTCTTACCACCAGTCTGGTCTAATGTTTTTTTTCAACTAAACTACTTTAATCGAATGCAGCAATGCTTTTGCGAAATTGCGTAGGCATGTCAAGCGAGGGCCTTCAGCTTTTTTTAACCGCATCGCGACATTTGATTAAATCATTTTAGTTGAAAAAAAAAACCATCAGGCCAGAGGGAATTTTGACAGTCTATTATGAAGTGTGCAAAACAATGTCACCGAAATGGGACATGGTAACTGATTAATCACAAAACATAAAGACAGCATATGTAAGATACACACCATTCTGTTCTCGGTTGTAGACATTGTTGAGGTTGATTATACATGTATAAAGCATCTGATTACAGCGTTTTTGGCAGCGTATTCAAATTAGATTTCTAAAGTTGCAATCTCACTTTTTATCATAAGTATACACCTCTGACTGATTATTGTGATCATAATGTAAAATAATAAAATCAGGTGGTTTGAATTCTGAAATATTTGAGCTCTGAAGCAATCCTGCACTGAAGGGTGTAGTGATGTATCACAAAATCAAACATACCATACTTTCCACTGTTGTATTCACTCTGGGCCACTTAACTTTACTTTAAGGATGCTGTGTAGGTTTTTTTGCTTTGAAACCCAAAATTCTACTTTTTTGTATTTTTCAATGCTTGACTACAAGGAGCAAACACTCAGTAGGAAAAAAAGTGATTTGGATGTTTTTATATGGTGTAAAAATCAATTTTTGTTAATTAAAAACAAAAGCACATGTCATTGTTTTGAAAGCTATGTTTTAATTAATCAGCCAAAGACATAATAGACAGATAATTTGCA